GCCCTGAGGGCGGGGACCTTTTGTTTTGTTCAGTAATATATCCACAGTATCCCAAACGGAACCTGGCACGGGGTCCTTAATGTGCGTGGAGTGAATACATGAATCAGTGATTCGAGATGAATTTAGAGATTTGGGGAAATGCCTGATCATGAAACTATAATAAGAGGTTTAATTTTATTTTAAGCAGAGCAATATTTTAACGGAGTGTGTGGAAGATTGAATGTTGGCCCTCCAAAGAAGTCCATATCCTAATTTTTAGAGCCTGTGAATGTTATCTTAGTAAAGGGGTTTGTAGTTGGGATTAAGTTAAGGATCTTGAGATGGGGAGATTATCCCGGATTACCCAGGCGGGCTCAGTGAGATCACAAGTATCATTATAACCGAGAGGCAAGGGGGTTCGGAATTCGAGAAGGGGAAGTGATAATGGGTGCTGAGGACCGAGTGATGCAAGCCTCAGACCAAGGAGCGCAGGCAGCCTTCAGAAGTTTAAAAAGACAGGGCAAGTCTCTCTTAGAGCCTCCAGAAGGAGCACCACCCTGCTAATGCAGGTTAGCCTTCACATCTGCAGAATTTTAAGATAATAAATATGCGTCATTTTAAGCACCGTGTCTGTGGTAACTTGTTACAGCAGCAATGGGAAGCCAAGACACTATTATTCGAAATTAAAGAAAGTGGCCATTTAATAAGTTGCAAACATGAAGACGGATACGTTCTTAAAAGTCAGTCACATAGCGTGCTCACTTGCTTCCGCAGCACATGTATTTAAAAAAAAGTTCATATTTATAATCTAAATTAAAATGCACTTTTTATTTAGTTGCAGTATTTAGCTGGATCCTCCTTTATGTATCTTCTGTTCTCTCACAGCAGATGAAGAGGGAAGAAAACAAGTGGGTCTAAGTTACGAGAGGAGTAACCAGGAACAAAGGGTGGTAAAAGGGAAAGACTGAGCCAGGGACAAAGAGAATAGAGAGGGAAGAGAATTCTGAATGTCAAGAGTCCAGGGGTGGCAAATCTGGGTGGTTCTGGCTCAGGGTCCCTCATGAGGCTCCATCATCTGAGGGCTTAGTTGGACCTGGAGTTTGTCCCCAACAAGACGGTCTCCGTGTGGCTGCTGGCTGCCGAGCTCGGTTCTTTGCCACGTGGGCCTCTTCAGAGCAGCCCTGGAAGGTCTTCCCAACATGACAGCTGGCTTCCCCTCCAACCAGCAAAATCTGAGACAGAGCTTGGAGGCAGCAGCACCTTCTCTGGGACCGATTCTCTGAAGCCACTTGGTCACCCAGCCAACTCCACCATATTATGTCAGTCAGAGCAAGTCTCTAAGTCCAGTGCTCACTCCCAGCGAGAAGGATTGGGCTCCGGCATTAGAAGGGGGTGTCAAAAAAACAGAATAACAAAAATGTTAAACCAGCACAGAAGGAAGACGAAGGAGTGAGGAGAAATTTGAGCAGAACAACGATGTCTCATTTCTTTATAGAGAGTGCCTAGATGTGCCCATTTTTCTCAGCTAATCTCTCTCCCGTCTGCCAGGACTATGAATGTGTGTGTGAATAGGTGTGTGTGTATATGTGTGAGGGTATGTGTATGTGTGTCTGTGTGAAAGTGTGTGTGTCCATCTCTAGCAAGAAAGCCTTTCCTGGCTATTTCCCACTTTTGACTCCTGCCAGACCTATCAGCCTTTACCTCAAATCAAATGATCCCAGAGGCTTCTGGTTCTACACTCGAGCTAGTCTCTGTGTCCAGATAATCTAACCAAAACGCTCTGAACTCCCCCCCAAAAGAAATTCTGCCACATTACATCCACCTGGCCGAGTCCTTATCGAAACAGGGGAGGTAACAGCTGCCCCCGCTCACAGGTCCACTGCACACCTCATGGGTCAGGAAGCCCTTGGGGGTTGCAGATGGGAGTCAGTATAGAAAGTTCGGAGGCAGTATAGAAAGTTCTAGTGCTATGATAAGCTCTCTAGAACATGAAACAGAGATGGAGCCAGACTGGAAGGTAGAACGCAGAAACTTCTGCCCATGCTCATTGCTGAATCAGGTTACGCCAATTAAAGGATTAATGAGGAAGGTAATGGAGAGAAGAGCCCAATAAAGAGTTATCTTGGACCATCTCCTGTTCCATCATTCACTCCTTGTCAGATATTAAATTAGACCTTTAACTTACCTTTGATGTTCCCCTCTTCGGACCTTTATTCTGTTAGAAAACAGTAAAGATTGCTTTCTTTTCACAGAATGCCTTTAGATTCTTTTAAATTCATTGCATGTAAAAATGCAGAAGGCTTTTACTATCTAGGTTTTAGAGGAAATGTATTTTAGAGCAAAACATACCACCCATAAAGGGGAAAAAATAGTTACAAACGGGGGAGGAGGGGGATGGGCACTGAGGAGGGCACTTATTGAGATGAGTACTGGGTGTTGTATGGAAGCGATGAACCACAGGAATCTACCCCCGAAACCAAGAGCACACTGTACACACTGTATGTGAGCCAACTGGACAATAAATTATATTCTTTAAAGAAACATACCACCCATATTTTAAAACATTCATGTGCCTCAGTTTTCCGTATTGGTATTTTCAAATCCAAATTTGAGGAGGAAAAAAAATTTATTTTCTAGCTGTATGTGTGCATTGTATACTTAGAAAAATAGACACAAACCTTATAATGTGATATTTTTTAAAGGTGTCTTCAGATATTGAGGAAGATATTAATTTCATTATAACGTGTTTTTTAAATCTGAAAACCTAATTGTTTTATGAGAAAAAAGAATTTTTTGCAAGAATGCAAACGAATGTATTTTGATTTTCTAAAATGTAGTGAAATCTTTCTTAATGAAATGAATAAATAGCTTTATATATTATTTAAAGCAAGGTAAGTATTTGTGAATATATTGCTAGCATTTCAAATCCATTCCAATCAGAACATATCTTTGAGCACTTTCTGTGTACGACTGGGCATTTTTTGTGAGTGCCCAATCTACGATACTAATGGCAATGCAAACATGCACACAGAAGTTTATAGAAAACATTCTATGTGCTAAAGCAGGGTGGGCAAAATCTTTCCATAAGGGGCCATATATTAAATTATTTTGCCTTTGTGGGTCATACGACCTCTGTCACAAATATTCAACTCTTCCCTTGTGGGCCATAGACAGTATGTAAATAAACAGGCCAAGCTATATTCCAGTAAAACTTTATTTACAAAGACAAGCCGGCAGGATTTGCCCTTGACCCAACCCCCTGTGCTGAAGGGTTGGTTTATATACTGGGCACGAAAAACATATTGTTTCCTTTGCATTTACTTCAGTAAAATTCCCAGCAAATGTTATTTAGAAAGACAGTTGAAAGCGTTTATATCTACAATCACACTTTTATAGAACTGATTTAAAACTGTTCCTTCAGTTATTAACCATCAAACATTATCAACCTTCAGATTAGTATTAGTCATGCCCTTGGTAAGGTCAACATGTGCCATGGAAGACTAATAAATTTCAAAAATACGTGTATTCTGTTTGTCCTATTCATAACACAGTAGATAAAACACAATCTCATCTTAACATTTATTGAAAGTTTATTAAACAAGTAAGTTGGAATTTCTGTTTCTAAAAAAATATATTTTATTCTCAATATCTGCAATGATGATGTATATTTAGATTAGTCTCGAGGGGAAAATACAATCTTTCTTTTATAAAAATGTAGAATATAATTCTGTTTCTTTTACCTTCATGTGTCCTGTTTTCAATAACAACAAAAAAAAACTCTTCAAAAGCATTTTCAGATATTATACATTATACGCAATACTTCGGACTGCTTCTAAACTTAATCCTATTTTAAGATTTCCTTTAAAAATATGTAAGGGGCACCTGAGTGGCTCAGTTGGTTAAACAACGAACTTCGGCTCAGGTCATGATGTCGAATTCGAGCCCTGCATCAGTCTCTGTACTGACAGCTCAGAGCCTGGAGCCTGCTTCGGAATCTGTGTCTCTCTCTCCCTCTGCCCCTCCCCTGCTCACAGTCTGTCTCTGTCTCTCAAAAAAATAAAATAAAATAAACATTTAGGGGCACCTGAGTGGCTTAGTCAGTTAAGCATCCAGCTTGTTCTCACAGTTCGTGGTTTCCAGCCCCATGTCATACTCTGCGCTGACAGCTAGTTCAGAGCCTGGAGCCTGTTTTGGATTCTGTGTCTCCCTCTCTCTCTGACCCTCCCCTGTTCATGCTGTCTGTCTCTCTCAGAAATAAATGAAAAAAAAATTTTTTTAATTAAAAAAATAAACATTTAAAAAATTTTAATGAAAATATTTAAAAGTCTAAAACATTACATCTATCCTAAAACTTCAGCTTTTGCTCTGCCTACATTAATTTCTGTTCTAGTCTATCTGCTGCTGACATGCCCTCCGCTTTCTACCGCTCCCTGTTCTCTGGCTCCTCCGCCAGCATTGCCTTCTGAGATAAACTGATGAAGCTGTCACAAGTGACAGTAAATTTAAACTCCTTGTTGAGCCCGTTGTCATCAGGCCTGATGCTGGACTCTCATAAGGACCTGGGTGCTGGTGGCTGGCTCTAAATGGAGGCCACGCCGATCACACTGCCCATATGTACATATCAAGGTCTTAGATAAAACAAGGACCTCCTGCTAGTTCGTAGCTCAGATAACTTTCACAACTCTTTCGTCTTGGCTAGATTTTTGGATCCTTAGTCCCACTGCATTCAAAGTGAAAGGAAGCCCCATTGGTATCCATAGTTCAAATCAGACCTCAACCTCAACCTCATTGAGATGGAACAAAGACAATCACATCCCGAGTCCTAAGCCCACTTGTCAGATTTTCACAGCAGCCCTTGAATGGTTCTCACAGATGTTCTAAAATTAAGGGTGCGCTCTAGGTCATGTGCTCGCACTCTCTTAGTCCATCCTGCCCGTGCTGTTAACTTGATTAGGGAGAACGGTTTTGAGATGAGAAAAAAGAGCGGCCGTCCAAAAGCTCTCTCTGTGTGCATCTTGCAGGAGTCCTTTGGAACCTCTCGTCTTGCGATGCCCTCAAAATGCCCATCATCCAGGACACCCTGGTGGTGTTGACCAACGCCGTGATTATCCCCCATTCAGGCTGGGAAAACTCACCGCTCCAGGATGACCGGAAGATACAGCTGCATTCCTCACAGGTGCTGCGAAATGCGACCGGCTGCCTAAGGTAAGTGACACCCTTGCAGTGTCCTGCTGCTGTCACTCACTTTCTGCTTCTGCGGTTGCCATTGCTGCTTTACCAAGGATCAGAGTGGCCCAGAAATTTGAATGGTTTTTTTTAACGTGTCTTCTTGGCTCTTGGGCAAAAAATAAACATTTTCATTCCTGCCAAAAATAATTCATTTTCTTTGATTAAAAACAACAGTTCGCAATAATTTCTTTCCCATGTTACAGTATACCGTGCCTGTAGAATAACCAGGCAGGCCCATTGGTGTGGACAGAGGCTATGACAAATAGAGAGGGAGCTAATTAACTGTCATCACTAGTTATTTTTGGTTTTCATTCTTTTTTAATTTTCTATGTGACTACCAGAACCTATAATGCTTAGAGATAACTTTTTAATAAAGCCTGTTGTATGAAATGGGTTTTTTTTTAAATAATAAAAGTAGCAAATATGTTCTAATCCTCTCTCGGTGACTTTTAACAAAAATCATCCCACAGAAATCTCTTGAGAAGTCTTAAAGTCATCTTAATTTTTGTTTAAGTTTTGCTCTTAGAAAAGAATGTAATAATCAAGATACATTTTTTCTAAACTTAGGTGACTGTGCTCTCAAGGATGCTGTATTTTGTACCAAAGTTGCAAATCTCTGCTGGATAAATTTAATGAGGAGATGGGGGTGCCAGAGCGACCCAAAATACCCAGTCAAATAATCTCTATTTCAGACATAAAATGTACTGGGTTGTTTCAGCTGGGCTGCCTCAAAGCTGTCATTTCGCCTACAATTGATTGGCTTCTAGGGACAAAAAATGGTCTCTACTGAGAAGGAACAAAATCACCTTGGTGACATTAATAATAATTATCTCATGAATATGTATAACAGTGCTCCGGGCCTCCAGTCTTCAGAGGAGTGGTGTGTTTGTGTAAATGTGCGTGCATAGAGGGAGATAAAGTGAGTCTCCCTCCATAAATATCGACATACATTCGCAGGCAAGAATAGGAAATCCTCTAACGATTTTGCTTTTCCTCAAGGTCACAAAATAATGATCTTTTGACATGATTTCTCTGGCTAAGCTTTTCCATAAGCCAAATTTACAGTTCTCCAAAGCTCCCTGTTGAGACATTCATTTTACAACCTCTTACATTCTGTTATCCTTCAGAAGCCTCCTGCCCCACCAGAAGAAATATAACTCCTTTGCAAAGCTAAAACCGTAAGCCACTTCCAACTTCATATACCTAATTTTCTAGTTTAGTTATTTTCAACTATTATGGGTAGTTTTGTCCCTACTTAGCCTCTTTGACTTGTAGAGAATATCATCGTTCCTAACAAAGATCACCGAAAAAGTGCCTCCGAATCAGTTGTAGAAGTATGGTCAGTAAGGATTTGGTTAACTCTGTCAATTAAAATGCTCTCTGAATGATACAGTAACATGATTCTACATTCAGGATGTTAGACTTACGGATGTGGGCCACCGCCATCAAGAGCATCCTTCAGCACTGTTTGATGAAAAGTCAGACAAGGAAGCTAGACCACGTAGGTTCATGGGTCCCCTTTGTAAGTCATCTGACTGAGTTTAGCACCTGGGTGTGACCCAGAGTGAAGTTGGGTCAGATCAGAATCTGACTCTCCAACCCTCCCTGTTCACACATACAGAGCGTTGGCCATGTGCTGCTTACACTGGGTACGGCCGCGAGCAAACACATCATAGGAAGCAAAAAAACGGGGACATTTAATTTAGAAAGAATTTCATGTAGTCAAATAGGGCTTCCTTAGTCAAGATGCAGCCAAGTTTAGGGGTTTTACCACTTTTCTGAGTTTATCATGTAATTGCAAAGCAAAACCCCTCAATATATGGCAAATACTTAATTTCCCCCTTGTTTCATTAAACTCCCGCCTTTCTACAGAAAGAAGTAATCATTTGTCTTCTTATTTAAATGTGTTTGTGAATCATTCCACATGGATGAGCAGGCTGAGCTGAGAGAGGAAGAAAATAGCCTTGGGAAGGGGAGGCAGAGAATAGCCTGGGGAAGGGATTTATCAAAGACTCTGCAGATACAAAGTTTCAAGAAATTCCTACTAATATTTGACAAGTAACTTACAACCAGTGTTGGCAACACTCCAGAAGCGTCACAAATGTTTTTATCATGATGGAAGATTCTAGATTTTATTCGTTGAGGTTATATACATTGTTGATTTTTGTAAGAAAGCCTAGCTTTTTGTCTATGTTAAGTTACTTTCTATGCTGTTCCTGCTTTAACACTGTTATCCATGAGCATTTACTGCTTGTCTGCCATTTGCCAGAGAGGGACCAGAGAGGCAGAAATAAACAAAGGCTCAGCAAGAGCCCCTTAGGAACTGCAGAACCGATTTGAATACACTCCTTAAAATGTATATGAACAACCAGATTGTCTCAGTTTCTAAATCAGATCTGGGTTTGTACCTTTGCAAGGAACGTTTTCTTCTATCAAAATATTTAGAAAGAATTTGATGCTTTGGTGCTTCTAAAAGCAAAAAAGAAAAAAATCCTCAGCAATTGATCTTGTCATTTTCATGTACTAAATGCATGTTGTATGTAAAAATGAGACAGTGAGTTTGTACCGCAAAAAAGATACAGAGTTTCTGTAACATCTGCGTACTTCAATCAGGCCCATTAATTTATAGCTTTGATTTTGAAAGTTGCCGAAATTGTATAAAAATGCCAAATGTACGTGTTAGAATTCATTTGCAGTGTGTCATTACCACTGCTATCATAGTTCAGGAAATTTGGCTAGAACGTTAAGTATATGTTTCAGAACCTTGTTTAGTTGGTAAGAAAGAGCCAGCTGCATTTGGCGGATGAAATGTACCTGTCTGCTCATGGGTGTGTAAGGAACTCAACAGATAACTCTGGGACTAAGTTGGTATAAATCATGTTAAGTGTCACAACTGGCAAATAATAGTTAAGTTCAGTTCATGTGATTTATGGGTATTTTATGGCAAAGAAAATTAGTAACTTTAAAAAAAAATAACATAGAATACACACAAAATATTTCTTACTTCCTCTTTTAGATCTTATTCCTTGTTAGCGAATCAGTTTTAAAATGAACACATTATTGTTGAGGACCATCCTGTTGTATTAAGATTCTTTTCAATTATTTGCTTTTATAGATTTCAACTTCTAGAAACCCTCTACAACCTTTGAGGATCAGGAGCTCCATATAATTCAGTCCTTGTCATAATTATAATAAGTTTTACAAACTTATTTTGAGAGTGTGATTTTCTCATTACCATTCATTATCAAACAACACTTTGAATTAAAAAAATTACAAGTAGCAAAGTACATGAGTCACTGTTTAAATATTTTTGATATGTGAGATGTCAGTTAAATTTAATTCAGTTATCTGTCCTCGGGTGATATTTTTCCTAATACTGAGTTGGAATGGAAACTCTCCTTTCTCATGAATTCTAGAGAAATTGAAGGATGGAGCTGTGTGTGTGTGCGCGCACCCGCGCCCGCACCCGCACCCGCGTGTGTCCATTCCCTGGTTTGACCTGGCAACATGTTTATCAGATAACTTTATGCATTGTCAATAAGGGCAAGATTCTGATTTTGAAAATGAACATTTTGATTCATAAAATCCCCATCTTCCAAGGACCAGAAATTTCTGCTTCGAATACATTGTTTATTCTCATATTTATTATAAGTTCAATAGCCTGTGGTTAGTCAGTCAGGGACCAGAGCCTGCATCCTGACTCCTGGTCCAGCCCACTCCCACTGTACCACACAGAGAGGAAACACAGTGTCCTATGAGGCGCCAGGAACAGATCTGTGCTCAGAGCCACACAACCGACTTGCGCACCCAGCCGGCGGATGGCCTCACTCTCCTTTGTGTTGGCTGCTTTCATTTGCTTCTCGACATCCACTGAGTGGCATCATCTCAGCCAATGTCCATCCAAATTACCTACTGTCTTCCCCTCCTCCTCCTTTCCTACTTCCCATTCTTCCCTCCCAAGGCTGCCAGTATGGAGTGGGAAGCCACCTGAGCGGTTAATCATGGAGCCTCACGTCAGCCCCTTCCCTCCACCTCCACCTTCAATCTTAATTTAGGCAATTAGTCAGAGCAATGGTTGCCTTTTCTTAAAAGCTAAGAGTGTATTTTAAGACATACCCTAGAAAAACAAAGTTGACATTATTTTCCCAGGACTCAGACTCCTCCATTCTTTTACTGAGGGCTTAGTTCTCTTTTACTGATGGCCTCACTCTTTTTCCAGGATAGCATTTCCTACCCTGGATGGCTTTCGACCCCAGGAGAAGCTTATTGTGGGTAAAAGTACATTTATCTGGTCACTGATGGAGAGCAGTGTTCTTAATATTTGTTCCTGGCAGGATTCAAACTTGTTTGTGTCATTTCAGGGTGGGAAGCCGAGGTTAGGCCTTTAAGCAATTACTATTCTAAAAGAGATCACCTTTTCACTTTTCAGAAAGAAAAAAATATTATAAATGCAAATTGTACCACTCTTAAATGTTCCAAAGCTTATCAGAGTGAAATTTAAGTGAGAGAGAGAGAGGAAAAAAAAAAAGCCTATGCCTTCCTAAGCTAAATTCTGGACCGCTAACACTGTCCAAACTTTAGATAATTCCGTCCATTCTTAATAAACTCTGTCAAGTTTCTCAAGCCTTCTCTTTGGTGGTAGATGTTGTACTGATGTCAATGGTGGTGCCCACCCCACCCCGCCAGCCTGGAGCAGGGGCCCTACCCATGGGGACTGTCCTAGAGAAAAGACTCTCACCTTTGCCTTCTCTCCAAAGGCACAGAAAATCTTCATGGAAAGATGTCATATCATGTTGCCCTAGCGAAAATTTAAGCACGTATGACATAGAAAATGAAAAGTTAATGCCCTTAGTCCTTTTCCATTTAAAATTCATTTTGGGGCAGGAAATGGAATTTTTCAAAAGCAGGTCTCTATTTGTTCCCGAAGTATCCATCTGTCACTGAGGAAAGAGGGTAGAAATGGGAAAAAATATCTC